TATTAACTGGGGAAGGGACTTAGGACATTACATCCACCAGCAGGCGTCGCCCCTACAACGGCCTGCCTGCCATCGTTAACGACTGTTCACCCAACAGCCATGCAGTTCTTTGGCACGAAGGAGACACCTTGAACTTGGGTTTCGTACTGCCGACTCCCTACTAAGTTGTTATTTTATGTTCTGTTATCACAATTAATGTCACTGCACATTGGGCATACCCATGCGTGCTCAGTTCTCCGAAGCAGCAGCCACTCTAAAGTACTTCTACTAATTGTCCCCATGAGAAGCTGGTTATATTGTCTCCTTTCTCGGCCTCGAAGACGGCAAAGACGTGCATCACCATGCTTAACTCCCATGTCACGCAATCGTGTTAGTGTCAGGGATTCCTCATTCTCCACTAGCCCAGTTCGTACAGCGTTGACTATGTCTGCTCTGTCCATACTTTTTCCCGCAATCATTAGTGCAGTGCTTGCCAGTTGGTCTGCTCGCTCATTTCCCTTCACGCCTGCATGACCCGGTGTGTAGATCCAGGTTACGGAGGTTAAGTGCGATTTCCTGATGCTTTCTATCCATTCAGAGCGCATACTGCCTGTTGCTATCTTCTGAAGCATATTCATTGAGTCTGAGACAATTACTACCTGTGTGGCGGTTTGCTCGGATACCCATGCTAAAGCTCTAGAAGCAGCGGCTATTTCCATTGTCATGCTTGACCTGGTTGTCTGGTAAGCGCCACTGTCCTCATGTATTGTTTTCCCCTTTCTTTGCGCTGTGTATGCCCATGCTGACCTTGATCCGCGCTTCACGGATCCATCTGTGTAGATGATGGTATCTTCTGGGTCTGAATGCTGATCTATCAGTTCCCTTACTTCTGTATCTACCGCCGCAGGAATTTGATCCCTGCAGTACCTTCCGAGTGTGATGACAACCTTAGAGATGCCATGCATGTCTACTGGTGTATTCGTCCATTCTTTTCCGTGGCTGATCACGTCTAGGTCACATACCTGCTGGATTAAGTCCTCAGCCTTTGCCATCCAAGAGCGGCCCCTTTTGAGACGCGTTCCTTTTGTGTCGTGAATAGCTTTGTGTAATGGGTGGTTAACATCTGCCGATACCCTCATGTAAGCCTTGACCTGTGCCACTTTGTATCTGCTTGTCATAGTCGGCAGGACGCTCACGCACCCCCCCCCCCAAACACACACACACACACACACACACACACACATTTTTATCAAAACCTGGACGTAATATTGTCTAATGAATCCATAAACATAAAATATCCTCAATAATGGGGTTTGTTTCCGGCGACCAGTATAGCAGAGAACCCCTCCCAAATTTTTTTTCCATTACCAACCGAAACATTTTAGTGTTTGCTAATATGTTTCGTAACTATGAATAAAAGTTTTCATTTTATGAATGAAGTGTTAGAAAAAAAAATTGTAATGCTAGTTTTTAGAGTAAGCGAGAAAAACACCAGGTCACTACTTGTAAATTTTCCACACGACTGTTTCCAATGAAAGCCGAAGGAGGTCGTGGTTAACACAGACCGGCCGCTTGGGCTTTCACAAAAACTGACATTTTCGTTGACCTAGTTGGCCTATTAAAAGTTGAAGGAGGTCGTTATTTTTCCATGTGGTTAAAAGGAAAAGTAAAGGCTGGTCCTGTTGTTAGATTGTGGTATATTTCATATAATGGTAATATATTATACTATTTTTTGTTATTCTGCACATTATTGTTATGCACTTAAACTATGCTTGGACCATTGAGTGCACCATAATATTGTTTTTTCAAAGTCGTCATCACTGCTAATAATCGATATGCAACTAACTTTTTTTCTTAAATCATAAATTTAACACTTGATTTCAATATAAAAATTTGATGTCCTGGCTATGGTAAATAAGGTCACTAGGGTGTTGTCTGGTGAAGGAAAAGGTCACCCGACCCAGTAAAGCAGCGACCTGTTCTCTGTGAACACATTAACACTGACACTCCAGGGCAGTATCTACCACTGGATCTCTTTTACCTGTGGGGATTTTTGTAGCAGTAACATATCAGATTACACTTTGCTAAGAGCTTCAATAGAAAATAATAAGATCAGGCGAATCAGCAGAAACAGGGGAAGCTTTAGCTCATGGATATTCAATTGGCAGCCAGTGGATCAAATTTGGCCCGCCGAGGACTAGCAATTGGTCCACTGATAATAGACAGTTGTATTGTATTAATGATGTTTCTAGGGTAGGCCTCGGGTCACTGGCCCGTGACGATCCTTATTTTAACATTGTTGCCCTCTGAGTAAAGATGGGCTACTGTAGGCAGTTTTTTTTAAACCTATCCTAACACGAAATGCCCCATTTGAACGGAGTATTAGAAAGCTACCTTTGAGGGTTAGTTACTTAATTAGCGAGTGGAAAGGGGGAAAAAAAAGCAAGGTCACTATGTGTAAGTTTTCCACAAGGTTAGAAAGAAAGGTAAAGGCTAGTACTATGGCTAAATTGTGGTGTTGGAACTTTATTGCAGGGTTAGCGCAATGACGATCTTTTTTTTTTTTTTACTCCATCTCAGGTACTCCAACATTTGGTAGGGAATTCACGGAAAATTCCAATAGTATTGGGGTGCTAGGGTGTGGAAAAAAACACCCAATAACACTACACTACCCCCCCCCCCCCACCTCCCCCCTCCCCCACCTCCATAATATTGGACTTTTCCGGGAATTCTGTACGAAAAGAACCTAAATTACTAGCATGATACACAAATGGTATTTCCATTTAAAGTCACTCCTAACAAAGGAAATTCCGGAGTTTCCTGGAAGGTCCTTTTTTTCAGAGGCATTATGCCGTTAGGGTTAGGATCTCTGTCAGGCCCGACCGCATCAAAGACACCGACAAGCCTGACTATTATTTGAAATATATTTACTGGCACTCACAGATGCAAAGAAAAAAATTTAGTGACAGAAAACATATACACTTAAAAAAATTTAAATATGTATTACCATGCTGTGAAAGGAACCAGTCACCTCAAAATGATGACAGCGCCTGACTGTGGCAAAATGAGTATTTAAAGTCGTGAGATCAGATTCTATAAAGGTAAAGTCAGGAGATGTGAACCAGCGTCATTGCACACAGTTATAAACCATAAGTGCTCTGCCACCAGTACGGACAGCTGATAAGAATTGTCCGCGTGTGTCGCAGTTCGTACGTAACTCTGTAGCTACAGCGACGTTTCTCCATTTACCCCAGAGTGTCAACTCTAGTACCCATTTCCTAGAGGCTGGGTGAACCACCGAAAACGCCCGGTTTCGAATACTGACCGTGGCTGCACAGTCGCAGCTGGATTTGAAAGCGAGCCTCTTATCGACTGCGCTAACGCGGCCCTAACAGATTCTATACAGATAGAATAATGAAAACATCTCTCAAAAGATACATGGTAAACCTACTGAGATGTTACTAAGACATCTTTTGTTTGCGTTCACCGACTAGTAGTTGCAAGTGTAAACCACTACAGAGTGTTGGCTTGAGCAGTTTAATCTCCAGCTAGCATTTATTGTGCACAAGTATTCTTTTCCGGCCAAGCGTTTACATGGTAGATATAATAAGTGGTACGTACTTAGTGAGCCGTCCTCAGATACATTAGCTATTCATAGACGTTCATATACCTTTAAAATAAAGCTGTGTGTGTTCGGGAGTGTTTGTGTGTTTGTATATGTGTGTGTTGGTGTTTAGTACACAGTCTAGCTGGGTCTTCTTATTCTATGAATATTCTCCTTTGACTCCTGTGCCCCATCCTTTTCTCTTGCCATTGCTCATGCTGCTGCTACTACTGCTGCTGCTACTGCTGCTGCTACTGCTGCTGCTACTGCTGCTGCTACTGCTGCTGCTACTGCTGCTGCTGCTGCTACTGCTGCTGTTGACACTACTCTTGTTACTAAACCTATTGCTACTACTATTTCTCTGCTATACTACAACTAATATACGACTACTTTATCTGCTATTGCTGTTCCTCAAGTTACTACTTCTTCCTTTATTTTGCGACTGCGATTACAACTTCATCTACAAGTACTTTAATACTCATCATCATCATCAGGTGCCCTGCCGCCTGGCGTGGGCGATCATGCCTCTCCATAATCCGCGATCTCCTGCAGCATGTATCAGTTCGTGTGCCGACACACCTCCATGCCATGCAACAAGACTGTCAAGCATCTTCTCTCGTTGTCTTCCTCTATCCCTCCTTCCACAGATCTTTCCAGTGGTCACAACATGTTCTTTTTCCCTCTTCTCATAACATGGCCGAAAAATGATGACTGTCTCCCTCTGATGTCAGTGATAAGTTGTCTTCGGTCTCCCGCCTCTTTCAAAACCTCTTGGTTGCTCTTTTTGGCTGTCCAAGGTATTCTAAGCATTCTTCTGTAAAACCACATCTTCTATACTACTACTATTACTACTACTACTACTACTGCTGCTACTACTACTACTACTACTACTACTACTACTACTACTACTACTACTACTACTACTACTACTACTATTACTACTACTACTACTATGACTACTACTATGACTTCTACTACTACTACTACTACTATAACTACTACTACCACCACCACTACCACTCCTACTACTCCTGCTACTTCATCTGCTACTACTACTATACTACTACTACCACTATTGTTGCTTAGCACGTGTATGTTTAATGTTACTAGAGGAGTGTGGATCAAGGGACCTAGGGCCAGGTTTTGTTGATGCTGTTTTATTAACGGTTGGACATTCATACCATTGTCACAGAAAACAAAAAAGTTGTTGCCAAATCGCCTGCTGCTGAAAGCAAACCTGATGTCTATAAATTAGGAAGCACATGTGCAAATGCCCAAGTCACAGACACTGAGTAAAGAATGCACAAAGATCAAAATTGAACTTGAAGTTTATCCCTTGCTTTTTTTTTTTTTTTACATCTGAAGATTGTCACTGAAATCACATATCATATTTACTCGCTATTTTCTCTGATTGCAGGTAACCACCAAACTAACCCAGTGCTCCAATGATAAAGAGTTGCCTGAATATGTATTTGTACAACGGAAGGATTACGACTCCATCGAATTCCATGTTGGCTTCCCAGACAACGGCTACTACACTTTCATGATCTTTGCTCTTCCTGAATCTGACACTAACGACTCCTTGCCTAATGTGTACAACTACCTGATCAATGTGGAGCGCAACAGCAGGCCAGCTGCACCTTTTGTTAAGGCATACACCAAGTTTTACAAGGATTGTTGTGTTCTGTATGAGCCTTTGGTCCTTAATTCCAACAGCCAGTTGCTGGACCACACTAGATTCAAGATGGTGGTGCCTGGGGCCTACAAGGTAGCTGTGCACACCAAGGACGAGTGGCACCAACTGGAGAAGAAAGGAGATAAATGGGAGGGAAAGGTTGACCTTTTGAGGTACAGAGGGCAGAATACTAAGGTTACGGTCAACGCTAGTTATGATAAAGATGGCAGCACATACAGTGTGCTTTTGGAGTATGCTATCTAGAAATATGCTGATATAAAGTGATTTGATCGTTGAGCAGTTTAACATACAGCACTGTTAGTGAAATCAGTGAAGGTGCATTTTATTGAAAGCTTTTTTTTGGTAGAGAATTTGATACAGTGGCACCTCAGTATAATTATTTAAAATCTGTTTGATTTTTTCATAAGAAATAAAAGGAGATGGATTAGTCCATTCCCATAAATAGAAATTGTAAAAGAAACAAATACATTTTTTGCCCAGGAAAGAGAGTGATTTCCCTTTCCATTTATACCTTGTCATGTTGCAGGGTCTGTACTATGTTGCAGGGGTGTCACGCTTAGTGAGTGGTTAGCAGTATGTGGTATTTACTCATTGTTGTTAGCGGCCGGCAATACCAGTCACTCTCTTTCTGGGGCCGCAAATGTAACTATAACCAAAAATCATATTGTTATTGGTAAATTATACATTGATGGAGTTGTATAAAATAATGTATGTAGTGCCTAATACTAAAATACATAAATACAAAAGCAGTTATGTGAAATCAGAGAAAATGTAACCTCACTTTACCTTTCGGAGAAGAGTCCCCTTCCAATGAAATTTTAGGTATATGATGTATACCAAAGTGAATGTATACCAAGGTACAAATGTATTTTGAAATACTTGTAGGTTCTTTCAATTTCACAGTTACTTTTTGTAAACATTATTATGTGGGCTTAGGGCAATTGGTTAAAAGAAGAAAATATTGGATACATTTCATTTATAAGTGTTTTCATTATGAAATTGTTAACTACTATCACATATTGTTTTAATTATTAATTTGAAGACCACTTTTTATTAATGCAAAGTGTGATTCTTGCATGTTTTAAAGAATACAAAATGTCTGAGAGTATCATTTAGAGATTAGTTTAAACTCATAATTCAACATTTTAAATCGCTATTATATATTGCTGTGTTAATATTTCCTGCTTTCTGATTCATGTTCGTCACTAATTGCTTCATTTTCACCTTTTGCTACTTTTGTTAATTCAGTTTCATTTGCATCCATCTTTCTTAGTGAGGATATCAGAGTACACTAGGTAGGTTCTTAGATATCATGCCTGCCTTCCTCAAAAATATACTTATCATTTCATTAATGTTATTTAAACATAAGGTTTTGAGTTGAAAACAGGACATCACAAGAAAGTCAGTTTAGACACTTCCTTCCTTTTGTTTTCTAAGTCACTGTGTTAAAAGTGTTAAAAACTTGCTCTTCAGTGGTGTTAAAACCCCTGCAATTGTTGCCAAGAAACGAACAAAGCATGTAAGAAAAATTAACTCTAGAGAAAACTATTTACTGAGTGTATGGAATTCTGTAAATTAATTTCAATGATGGAAAACTTTTCTCTTTTATAATTCATATACTAGTGTTGCCACATAAAAGATGCACATTATGTACTTTTTTGGTTGTTGTGTCATATCCTTTTAAAGCTGTTTAACCTCTTTATTACTATAGCCAACCTCTTTCAAATTCATTTAAATCTGTTTCAGTTGCTGTTAGTAGTTTATGCTCATGCCAAGGCTTTTGTTTTTAGGAAAGAGGAGCTAGTACTGACCATACAGTGTCTACAAAAAAGTGCCAGTGTTCACAAGAGTTTATTAAAGGGCGGCTGAGAAAATGATACCTAAGGCAAGGGGAAGATGCTGTGTGCCAATGTGTATCACCAGGAAAAGCAAATATATTGCAAAAGACCACCCCACAGGGATACAGACCATGATAAAGAATCTCAGATGTTATCTTTGCAAAGAATGGAACAAATAAGGAATAACACACCTTTACATTTCACTGCCAGAACTCAGTTCACATCATCATGTAGCAGGTCCTTTGCAGAACGTCGCAGTCTGCCTGAAAGAAACTCGGTCTCTTTGCCAGTTCTCCCGCCTCATGAACTTTCACACTCAAGGAGTCACTTATATCCTGTGCCCATCTTCGTGTCGGTCGGCCCCTGCCCCTCCTTCCTGGTACCATGCCTTCTGCTATAATTTTTTCCAATCCGTTGTGGCGCTTGATATGACCAAAATATTTCAGCTTTCGAGAAAGGATGGTGTTTATTAGCCAATCTTTCTTGAAGCTCAGATCTTTTAAGATGTCAATATTTCTAATTTTCTTTGTCCAAGATATTCTGAGAATCTTTCTATAGCATTTCAGCTCAAAAGCCCTAATTCTCTTTCTTAAGGACTGAGAGATAGTCCACGACTCACATCAGTTCATATATCAAGGAGAAATGTAGAGAACAAACCAACATTAAACATCCAAAAGACCCTATCAGCAGACTCAATAGAAAACAACATATAACAATCTTCCATCTTAAAACATGACACTGCAGACCACAATTTCACATGTATAAAATAAAGACTGTACAGTCCCCACAGTGTGTCTGTCAGATGGAGCCACAAACACCTGAGCACATTCTGCGGCCTGTCCTTTATGCTTATTTCTATGAAGAGAAATCTGGCATCAAGAGAAACTTCGCAGAGGCAGCCCAGGTGACAGTCTGACCTAAGCATACAAAACCGAATACCAGAAAGAAGAAAGAAAATTGTATCCTACATAAAACTTTGTAAAACACATAGTATGTGTCAGTTTCAGAGAAAACAATACAGTAAACAAAGGATATTGTGGTGACATACCTTCTTCAGCAAAAACACAATGACAAACAAAGCATGGCACAAAACAGGAGAAACAATGCTGAAGTGGCTAAATAATGGCAATCAAATATGTCAAGAAAGAAACAAAATAAGAACTTTAAGAAAAAAGCAGAATCATACAATGAATGTGATATTTCATCTGGACTGCTGAGAATTGTCAACCTTTGGCTAATTGCCATGCATATATTCATCCTCAGCAAGCTTCAGTGTTTTTCTGCTTTCTTACATTAGTTTGTGTGAAGTGTACATCACTTATACTACTTTATGCATTCGTCTTTGTTTTTGCATAACGTATTGCAATGGTATTAAATAAATTACTTTTTTGCATTAAACACTTGATATAGGTCTTTTTTTTAAAATCCTGTCTACATAGATTTTGTATGTTACAGTTGTTTATAAAAATGTGGTTGGTGTCTTATTTTATACATGAATTAATTAATTAATTAGTTAATTAAATAATAAATCATCATCAAGTGCCTAGCCAACTGAAGTGGGCGATCATGCCACTCCACAATCTACGATACGCAACTGTGTGTATCAGTTCGTGTGCTGACACACCTCCATGTCATGATTAAAGGCTGTCAAAATCTTCTCAGGCTGTCTTCCTCTGTCTCTCTTTCCACAGATATTTCTAGTGGTCACAACATGTTATGACAACTGTTTCTTTCTGATGTTTGTGACAAGTTGTCTTCTAGCCCTGCGATTCTTAGTTGTCCAATAAATTCTAAGGATTCTTCTGTAAAACCACATCTCCGAGGCTCAAGATATTGTTTAATAATTGTCCAGGATTTACAGCCGCATGTTAAAATTAATTCTATATGGCATGTAAGAATTCTTGTTCTTACCTCCAATGACATTGATTTATCGCAAAAATTGCTCTTCATCTTATAAAAGAAAGTTCTGGCCTGTCCTATTCTGTTCTTTATCTTTGTGATACATCTTCCATCGGATGTTAGCTGTGTGCCTAGATACTTGAATGTTTGAGCTTGTCCTAAAAAAACGGTTTTGACATTTATTACACATTTATGCACCATTCTTTTCTTGGAAATCTTCTCCAAATACCTCAGTCTTCTGTCCTATTCTGTTCTTTATCTTTGTGATTCATCTTCCATCGGATGTTAGCTGTGTGCCTAGATACTTAAATGTTTGAGCTTGTCCTAAAAAAAACGGTTTTGACTTTTATTACACATTTATGCACCATTCTTTTCTTGGAAATCTCCAAATACCTCAGTCTTCTGTCCTATTCTGTTCTTTATCTTTGTGATACATCTTCCATCGGATGTTAGCTGTGTGCCTAGATACTTAAATGTTTGAGCTTGTCCTAAAAAAAAAACGGTTTTGACTTTTATTACACATTTATGCACCATTCTTTTCTTTGAAATCACCAAATACCTCAGTCTTCCCATCATACAAATCGAAACCCATTTGATCACTTTCTACCACCTATCGCATCTATCAATGCTTATAGTTCTTTCTGACTTGTGAATATCAAGACGGTGTCATCAGCGTAATGCAGGTTGTTTATTCACCCATCCATACATACCATCCAATCATCTATCCCACATTATCGCACACACAAGCACATGCACACACGCACGCGTGCGCACGCGCCCCCACACACACACACACACACACAAATGCTAACATTTTCATCAATCAGGAGGTCCTTTACAGAACGTCACTCTCGTCACCGCACACCTGAAAGTCTTTCTTTCTCTAGCCAATTCTTCGGCCCTATGTGCTTTCATGGGGAATGAATTCGATGTAACCCTTCACTGAGCTTTACCTCTGCCCTATTTACCCACCATCGCCGCTTTCTGTTGACCGCCGTGACGTTAAACGTGGCCAAAATACATCATCTTTCGGGACAGTATGCTGTGAATGAGCATCTCATCGATTCTCAGATCATGCTTGATGTCAATGTTTTTCTTCTTCTTGGTCCATACCCTTAGCCCTTCCCTCGTAGGATGAAATTTTTTGTTATTTGAAGCCCTACCGTGGCCTTTGCCTGGGGCTCTGAATATAGCCGAGCCATAAATATGGTCTAGCCATAGATATGGCCTAAACGGCTGAAAGGAATTTCGGTTACCTCTCCACATGTGATCCTCATTTGCATGGTGGCACTTTGTGTCACCGGGTGTTTATCGCTTGTGTGATGTCCTGGTGGCTCTGTGGCTAAGTCGATGCGAACGCTTCGTAATGCCGGGATGCCGGGTTCGATCCCAGCTGCAGGCCATGCGCATTGCTTTGGTTTCGACAGCGGTATCAAAGAAGCCGACCGTCCAGTGGCAATGGCAAACTACTGGATGTAAATTTGTCTACAAAAACCACACAACAGC